GGTTCACTGTGTCGTGCCAGATAATTTTTTCTTGTCAGAATCCATTTCTGGTCTGGTGCTCCTACTATATATCTCAAGATATGACAAAATTCAAAAAAGGGTCTGTAATATAAACGATCCTGACCTAGCATCTTGACTTAAGTCAGTTTCTAACCACTGTGATGTGGATTCCTTCTGTCTTTTCAACAAACTTTTTCATGGTAATTGTTCTGATGAGCTTTCTTCCTTGGTGCCTTAATTTAAGCGTACTACTAGATTGGCAACTAGGTCTCACACTTTCACTATTGAATTAGCAAGATGCGACTGTCAGTGCTATTGTAATAGTTTCTTTTCTTGCATTTCTCACCTGTAGAACTCACTTCTGATTTCTTGTTTGCCTGCTATCTACAATCTTGAAAGATTTAAATTTAATGCCAATCACCATATTCTGTCTTCCTGAATGCTGTTCTTTCATTGTCCTTTCTCCTCACTAACATCATCTCATTTTCTTTCACTCTCAGTAACCACTTGTGTCCTACTTGCTTGGAGTGAATTGAAAAAAGAAATTAGAAAGTAATTGAAACTTGACAGAAGACATTGAGAAACTTGTAACTGATAATGCACAAATTCATCAGTTATTATTTAACAAAGCTGTTAGAGATTATCAAAGTAGGTATTTTTAAAATCTGACCATGTTATTACTTTTAATAATAACTGAAAAGAAAATTTGTTATTAGCAACAATGATAAAAATATTTTATGGCTTAATGAGGTATCCAAATTATAACAAGTGGTTTTGTTGAACAATCAAGTATTAATTAATTAACATTCTTTTTTTGTTGTTGTTTTAGATTACAACCAAACATTTTTCAATTATGACAATGACAACTTACTAGAATTTTATGTTTGTTAATCTCATTTCTTTCCCAACTCAAGATCTTACTTCCAACCGATTCTATCATAAAAAATCATTATCCTGCAGTTTTTATTGAAGATCCTGAACTATTTCCCCTTTTGATGATCTTTTTTTTTTTAAATCAAAGCTGCTAGTTGTAAAGAAATCTTTATGTATAAATTTCTATTTAGGTATGTCAAACTGTAATGCTAAAAAACTGACCAGGCTATTTTGCATTAAATTTTACCTGAAAAATCTCATATTTTATCAGAAATGGGCTTTCTTTTTTAATTTTAAACATTTAATTTGTATAAATTGAATGATTTTTTGATAAAAATAGCTTATTTATATTTCAAATTTTTGATCCTAAATTTAATGATTTAAATTACTCATAATTGCATTAAATATTTCATTTTAGGAAATGAATATGCCTTTTCCCTTATATAGCAGAAAAAGATGCCTGCTTTAAAAAGATGCTTGCTTTAAAAAGATGCCTGCTTTAAACGTAACAGTGAAAGACTAAAAATAATTTTGTTATTGTTCTCTGAAAAACAAAAACAAATAAGTTTTTGTTAGTCTTTATTACATTTATTTACTTTTTATTTCATGTTTAATTAGTTTCCATTGTAAGTAAAATAAAATGAGCTGATAAAATTTAGTAATTTTTTAAAGGATAATTTTAACTAAAACTAAACTTTTTTAGAAAACAAAAATTGGATCAACAAGCATCTAAAGAAAGCCAGAGGGAACAATGGCTGAAACTTTGTGATAATAACAACAAAGATGAGGAAAATAGTCCAAATAAAAATAAAATTGGAAACATTAAATTATTATTAATTTTTTTAGTAATGTTTTTTTTATCTTAATTTCAGTGTTTTTTAATTGCAACTTCTAGATTGTAACTAAGCAGTTTGGATCCAAAATAAAGAATAAATCCCAGGGAATATTTGAACTTGTATTTCTTATCCTTGAAAGACTGCCTTTAAAATTAAGCTACAAAGGCCAACTTGTTACAGTCATTCACGTCTAGCCACATTATTCTTTTCCTTGAATGCTTAATATGTTTCAGTCTTCTTTGTATATATAAACTAGCCTTATTAGTTATAGTATTATTACTGCTGAATAAAAGGGTTTCTAAAGGAAATGTGAAAAAAGTATGGTGCAAACATTTGCTAATCTAACATGTTTATTACAATACAAATAATCCCTTAATGTAACAACCATGGTAGCATGAATGTCTTTTTCTGCAGATACTTGATAATACTACAATGCCAAATTTTGTCCATTTTCAATAGAAATTGCTACAAGCTACTTTTGGGTCTTCCTTGAACAGTCAGATGTCAGTTTACCTGGAAAGGAACAATGCAGTTATTAATAAAAGTTAAAGTTAATGCTTTGAAAATTTCAGAGCTCTAGCATCACTCCTTCATAGTCAGCCTATGAGCTTTTCACACAACCTTCATACAATAGCTACAAATAATCACATTTGGATCTACAATTATTTCTACTCTGTGGCCTTTAGAATAATTTGAAATATAGCCATTATGGCCAACCCAGTAACTGTTAGGATAATACAATAAACTGGAAATATCTGACATAGCTACCCATAATGCTCCTTTGACCATCATATATAAAAAAATTGAGCCAATGCACAAATACATAACTTGAAGTTTGCTCTCAAGCATAAAACAGACTATTAATTCTTGGTGTTGACTTCAGTGCACACACACACACACACACACACACACACACACACACACACACACACACACACACACACATATATATATATATATATATATATATATATATATATATATATATATATATTAAGGGACATTGAAATCAGTCTGTTTCATGCTTAAATGTAGTCATTAGACTATGCATGTTGTGTTTTTGCTTGACTATGTATATATACTGGTCAGTCCATTATGAGTAGGCCTATTGGATTATTCTAACAGTTATTTAGGAAGGCAGTAACATTTTTCTTTTGAATTATTTTAAGCATTATTGAGTGGAAATGATTCCAGATCACAGTACAATTTTGTGGCTATTTTATAGTATTCTTTATTAACTTTTTTATTACTGATTATTTTATTATTGGTTGTTATTGTTATGTTTACTTGTGTTTATGTATGCATTCATAGCCTGTTAATTTGTTTATTATTTACTTAATTTATTTACTTATTCATTCATTCAGATTAATTTATTTTACTTATTTATTTACTTGATTTTTAATTTTTTTATTTTTATTTGTTCATTTTTAGTTTTTGATTTTTTTTTTTTTTTTTTGGTAACATAATAATAATTTGCTTTCATGTCTTCATTTTGAGATGAGTTCTGATCATTTTAGTAGTTTGTGTTGCTCTGGGAAAGTAATTATAGCTAATTTCTCCTCCAGAGTTTACAACTTTTGGATTTAGTGTTGGAGGCTGATGCTGTTTTTGATATGATTTGGTTTTTGTTTTTAATCTTACAGATGTGTTTAGACAGTATTGTGCTGTTTGCGTATTTACTATTTATAAAGGTTGTTTTGTATGTGTAGTTTCTTTGTTTCCAGAATCCTTTAGTTACTCCTATGCAACATGGCACTCCAAATACCCTGATATTATGTGACTGTTGACCAGAGTCACCAAAGAGTTTGGGCTTCTATCAGCAGCAACCAGAAGACTACCAACCCAGTGACCTCATAATAAAAAGTCACAGCTACTGATTAGTCAGATCACCAAAAAGTTAAGACTGTTAAACCATTAAGCCCATGGAAGAAAGCAGCTGGTATACCATATCCTAAACAGGAAACAAAGTATAAAACTCTACTCCTGTTTAATAAACATGGAAGAAGTACTGGCCAGGCAGTAGGCAAACCTATCTACTCCTATTATCCTCTTTGTGTCTGCTCATAATAATTATAAATGAGTTCCCAGAGAGCTTAAATCTTTGCTCTGTTTGAATGAGGTACCATATAACCTCTAACAAGTTTGGTTCTCATGACTAATGGCAGCTTTGTAATAGTATGTTAATAAGAGTAAGTCTGTTATCCCACCCCTCTTCACTCATCTTGATGTGTTAATGTCTTCTGCTGATAAAGCTGAATGTTTTGCTTATAAATGCTTTTCAAATTTTAATTTTGACTCATCTGGAGTTTCTTTTTCTGAACTGTTCATGCTTTCCAATCAACTTTGATCTTCAAGAATTTAAATACAATGTCAATTGTTATCATCTATCTTCTTAATTCTTGTTCTTTTATTGTTCTCTCTCCTTAATAATTTTTTCTCACACACAGTATCCCCTTGTGTCTTAGTGGCTTTATTGCTTTGCTTGGGGTGAATAATTGAAAAAAATATGAATCTCCTGTTGATTTAAACATATGAGAGCCCAACAGTTCAGTTTAGAACTAAAACACTCAACTACCCACACAAATTATTTGATAGCGATGTAGAACCAATCACAAATTTTGGAAGAATTGATAATAAAGGAATAGTGTACAGAGTGTTACAACATCTTCTGACAGAAAATCTAAACTCAATTTAAAACCTTCCAAAAATAAAGCAATTATAATAGAAAGAATGTTTGACAAAATTATTTAATTAAAGGATTTAAATCAATTTTTGAAAAAAAAAGTATAATAAGCATATATTTATCATCTCTTAGTATTACTACTTGAATAAATGCTTCCATTTACTGGAAAATGATCTACTATACAAGGTTTTTTTTATTTATAACTTTCTTTCTAAGATATAATCTACAGTTTTCTGTTATTCAAAAGATATTGCTCATTTATGTTTCTCTGATTCTAGATCAGTTAAATAATTATACCATTTCTTATATAGAAGATATTGCTCATTTATGTTTCTCTGATTCTAGATCTTTTAAATAATTATACCATTTCTTATATAGAAGATATTGCTCATTTATGTTTCTCTGATTCTAGATCTTTTAAATAATTATACCATTTCTTATATAGAAGATATTGCTCATTTATGTTTCTCTGATTCTAGATCTTTTAAATAATTATACCATTTCTTATAAAACAATCCCAGATAATGTTGCTCTTAATAAAATCTGTATCAGTATTCTGTATTGTTAATTCTGACTTTATTATATTTGATTATGCTAACACTTTATAGGAAGAAGCCAGTTTTAAGTGGAATGGAGTTTGCTGAGTTCATTAAGAGTCCGACAGTAGACAATGTCATCCTACACAAACCCTTTGAATTCCCTGTTGAGGGTACCTTGTGTGTCACAGGCTTTCACTTGGTCTTATCTTCACGACAAAAACGCAAAGAAGAATTATGGGTAAGTATATTTATCTTATTCTTAATTTACAAAAATTAAGCCTACAGAAATCAAATACTTTCAAATTTAGAATTATTTCTGAGGAAAGAACTCCTTTGGGATTTCACTTTGGTTTAAGATTATATTTAGTGAATTTTAGTCAAAAAGAAAACTGAAGATGTAAGAAAAAAAAATTTTTTTTTTTTTTTTGCAGCATATAAAACTTAATGCAGTTTAAAGTTTTAATACATTCTAACACTTTCTCTAATGTGCAAGAGTTAATTTTTTTCTTTTCCTTTTTTTTAGTTTATCTATCTGAACATAATATTTCTTTGTTTTTCAATATCTTAATGACTTACCATTAATTGTGCAAGAATGAAATTTAACAGAAAAATATGTTCTCATATTTTTTTATCATATCAAACATTTTTTTACAGTTGATAAACTTCACAATTTCAGTATATTTTAATGTCATTTTGTTTTTAATTCCATATATTTTTATTTTTATTCATTTCTATTTCATAGAAAATTTTCCTTGCTTTGTCATTTTTTTAATCATTCAAATTCAATGTGTTTGTTATTTTTTTTTTTTTTTTTCCCCCAGGAGTTCAGGATTCCCTCATTTGTAAAGGTATTTTGCATAGATTCGTAAAAAGCCTAAAGAATATTCTATGAAATCTATAATTGCATATTATATAGAATTACTCTTGGCTTAAAATGTATAAATGCTTATTATATGGAATGTACAAATCTATCGAGTATGTAAAAGTTATACTATATACTCTGAGACACAAGAACATATAATAGATGAGGTTAAAAGTGAAAAGTTGTATGAATAAAACTTACAAAGAATTTACTAATATGTATTACATACTTTATTTAAAACACACAATATGAAATGTTAACATTTAACCCTGGAACACTAACCATGGGTATATAGTAGTCAGCACAAATTTTCCTATTTTTAATTACAATTTTCAGTACCTGATTTTCTTACCTAAATAATGTTTTTCAGTTCCTATTAATGTTAACTCCAAGTACAAATTTTGAAGTGCCTGCATGTAAAATATTTCAAATAAAGATTTATATTTATTTTTTTTTTTTTTTCTGATATTTTCAAAATCAGGTATGATATAGCCATGGTTAGTAGTGGTGTAACTTTAATTGATGGTTAGTGTTCTATGGTTAATATATAAACATAATATTTGTAATTACATTTAATAGTTATTCAACTTGATAGGCATTATTCTTCTTTTTAGATTATCTTTGCAATACAAGAGACATGTTTTTATCAATGTAGTTGTCAGTTATATTGCTAATATAAAGTTTACAAATTATGACTTTATTATAAAAATAAATAAACTCTTAGTAATGTTTTTCTTTTTGTTTAGTAGTATACATGAGGACATAATGTTTCATAAAACTTTAATGTATAAAATTTAAAATGGTACCTATATCTTAACCTTTAGTACACTGCATTATTTACAAATATTATTTTCTGAGCATTCTTTTTTCAAACCCGATCAATTGCAGTAGCCCCTTTGTCATTTTCAGTCAAGATTAGTTTTCTGTTGTCATAGCAGGACATGACAGCACAACCTTAAAATTCAAATATATTATTATTCAAGGATCAGAATTGTCTGCAGTGATAGAACAAATATTTTGCTCAGCAAAAACAGGTCATCCACAGAAGTTAAACAGCAATTGTATATAGATGTTTGCAAAGTGGCATATTGACCAATATCTTCACTGGTTGGCCAAAACAGATTAATTTAAAAAAGGCTATTGTATATGAAATCTTTTGAAAAGTTTTATTAATTTTCTTTTTAAATGATACAGAAAAGTAAACAAAAAGAATTTATTAGATAACAGGAATTACATTGAAATTTTGGTGATACATCTAGAATTTTAAATAAAAACTTATATAAATATGAGAGATTTTTAAAAAAAATAATGCATTAAGTGCATTAGTAATTCATTGTAATAGGTCTGACTATAATTTCACCTTAAATAATGTGGTTCTGATTAAAAAAGAAAACAATTTATTTTGACAAAATTGTAGTGAAAATCCATTAATATCATGATCCTCTGCAGAAACTTTACACCTAGAAACAGACAAAATGTCTCCTTTTCTCACAAAATGATTACTCCTACTATGTGAAATAGTTTAAAATAATACCAATATAAACAAATAGTAAAAAAATCTGTAATTTCAAAATTTGAACATCAAAATTAAAATCTAAATATTGGGTATTGCTGTATCATTGATGTTTTGCTCTAAACTAATTTTGTTGTATTTCTCTCCCCACCCTTTTTTCCCTTTTATATATAGGACTGAGTTGATCAATAAAATCGTTATTATATCTGAAGTTCTATCTTGGATCAAAACGTGTCACTACAGTTTTCCATCTTGTCATTTATTTGTTCACAATTAAACTTATGTAAAATGAACAAACAGCTTGTAATTACTAACAAAATCCCTGCCAAATCTTCTAAGAGAATGAATAAATAAAGAGAGAACAAAGAAAAGTGAAATTAAAAATTGGTTGCTTTAATAAAATAGCAAAATGACTTTGCCATTTGGGCAATATCTGGCTATAGTATTTTTTCCTCAATTCGTTAAAAGATCTACTGAACAGTTTTTATTTTTTTTAAATGCCTCCATTTAAAATAATAAAAAAACTTATAAGAAAAAACAATGCATAAGTAAATATCTGCATTTAAAATTTTACAAGAGAATGCTGAAAAATTCTTTGTCCAAACAAAATTTTTTTTTTTTTTTTCAATAAATTCTTTTTAATTTTGTTTGATCATTTTGGGAAGTGCATTGGGTTGAGAACTTTTCAGCACCATCTTGTATAACTCAAAATTTTAGAGAAATCTTTTGGATTCACCATATATACTCTCATATCATGTGACTTTTGAAGACCTAATTTTGAAGCTAATTTTAAGGCTGCGGGGGGGGGGTGTTACATCATACACAAGATATAAAATTAGCATATGTACTGTTGGCCCTGGCTATGCCATTGACCAAACTATGTATCCATTTACTGTAGTCAAATTTGCTTCAAAATTAAGCGTTCAAATGTCACATGATATGCCATTATATATGGTAACAAAAAAAATCCCTATAGATAATCAAGGGAAGGGATGCTAAAAAGTGGGGGGTCAGTTTTGTATTGTTCTTTAGTACTAAACACATCCTCTATTTCTTGGTCATAGTAGATTCATAGAAGTAATTCCAAAATATCCTTATAGATACTCAAATGAAAGGATGATAGAAAGTGAGGGATCAGTTTTGTATTGTTCTTTAGTACTAAACTAATCTCCCATTTCTTGGTTACTGTATATGCTATCCATCTCTATAATCTAGACAGGATTTAAGTAACTTTCAAAAAATATTCTTATAGGTTGGTTTGTTATATATACTGTATGTATTTGCGTATCATACATCTTTTGAAGACCTAATTTTGAAGCCAATTTTAAGGGGGGGGTCACATTATACATGAGATGTAAAATTAGTGAATGTACTGCTGACCCTGGCTATGCCATTAACCAAACTATATATCCATTTACTGGAGTCAAATTAGCTTCAAAATTAGGTTTTCAAAGGTCACATGATACGCAAGTATATACAATATATACTGAATGAGGATTTAGGATTAAAGTTAGCTTTTATTTTCTTTTACTTCAGTTATCAACTTTCAATGCCTTAAACTTCAACACGCTTTCTTCTGCTTTTTTGTTAGCCTAAATGCTTTTTTTCAAAATTCTGACTTAATTTCCAAAGTCATTATTTTTTAATGAATTGCTTTACAGAATTTTATCCTGGCAGTTAGTTCTGTCCCCTAGAGACAAAAATAAACATTTTTATAATAATAGGTATCATTGATTTTACTAGCACTGAACTGAGTACTCCTCAAAAAGAATATGAAACAAGTTCTCTCTGGAAATCAGTCTAATTAACTGAATATCTGGGATGATGTCTTAAACTTCTTGACAATCAGTTCTTTACTCTGTTGCTAGTATTTCTGTTAAATAGAATTTATTTAAATAAAATTCATTTTCTCATTAAACAATTAGCTTTGTGGAAATGTATTGTCTCCTCATTCCAAAATAGTAAACGTAGCTATGCATATTGATTGAATTGTTTTGCTACTTAAAACTGCAGCTGTGTGTAAATGAAGTGAAAATTCCTGTTTGGAATCAGAGACTATACTAACAGTCTCTGTAACATATATAGTGGTTTATGTGAAAAGACAAAATGACTTGTAAGAAATAACAAAAGATATGTTGCATAAAAAAGGAGATTAAAAAGAAAGTAGAAAAAAAAATAAAGTTTTTTGTTTTCTTTATTGGTATTTAAAATAGAAGCAGAATAGAACATCAATTATTTTTACCAAGATATCTTGAAAAATTTTTGTAATTTCATATCAACCTTTTTTGTGCTTTTTTACCTTCTTTTTCATTTTTTTACATTCATCAAATAAGAAATTACAAAAATCATTTTTTAGACATATATTTTTGTTTTAGCTGGTCATTCTGAAAATCAACCTAATGGCTTTTGTCAGTAAAAAGTTTACTGTTTCTATTAAAAAATATATAAATATATATTTCTTAGTTATATTTTGATTTCTTATTTGGGTGTGTATTTCAGAATTATAAGAGAAAAACCCAATTTAAAAACAATGACTTATGCTTTCCTTAAGTTTCTATACATGCAGCTGAGCTATGCATTTGCTAATATTACAAAATCCTGTTTAATAAATACAACAATAAGTTGATGTCAATTTATATTTTCAGTAATTTATTACTTTCCAGTAATTTCCTTCTATTTCTCCTTTTCAGATAATGATCATATCAAACTTTATCTTAATATTTTTTTATTGTGTTAATTTACAAGCATTGGATTAGATTGTTTTTTCATCAAGTTTAAGAAGAGTCATTATCAAAATGTAAATTTTGAGGATAACTGAATCTCTTTTTAATGTAAGTAATGTCATTCACTTACAGTACATGAT